GAGGTGGGGGACTCGCATTCTTATTACACCATTCTGTCCAGTACAGACCTATCTCGCTTGAGCTAGACTCTAGTGACCCATACATGGAATGTATGGGGGTAGCAGTCAAGTGTGGAACTGCCGAGGTAGAGGTGCTCAATGTTTATATACCGCCGATGAATAGCTGTACACCGCGTTATTTACCGGATATCAGTCCGCTTTTAGAAGGTAATAACCGCCTGGTACTAGGGGATTTCAATGCGCACCATGAATTATGGCATTCCGTCCTAGGTAATGACCAGATTGGTACAGCGCTGGCTGAGCAAATTGATAGCTCAACATTTTGCACGGTTAATGAGGATGCCCCCACGAGGATAAGAGGAGATTGCCACAGCTCGCCAGACATCACCATTGTGGCACCGGGTCTGATAAATGACGTAACCTGGCAACCCGTCGTTTCACTAGGCTCAGACCACCTTCCGATCATCGTCTCCGTAAACAGACCACCAGACTTCATAACCTCTGAAAGCCGTACTTTCCTGAACCATGGGAAAGCTGATTGGCCTGGCTTCAGAGAGTTTACCAATCACCGCTTCAGAGAGCTGCCCACTCCCTCAGATCCACGGGTAGCTGAGAGGAATTTCCGCAAAATCATCGCTACTGCTGCCGCTCGCTTCATACCTGCTGGTCGAATACCCGAAGTAAGACCTAACTTCCCAGCAGAAGCAACGGTATTGGCCAATGAGCGTGATGAGCTCCGTCGTACTACTCCTGAGGACCCAAGGGTGCGAGAGCTTACCCTTGAAGTCAACAGATTAGTATGCGAGCACAAAAGGAAAAAGTGGCTAGACCACCTGAAGCAATGCAACATTGCCACCGGAACGAGTAAATTGTGGGCAACGGTTAAGTCACTCTCGAATCCTGGAAGGAAAGATGACAGGACGGCTGTTACATTTAACGACGTAACTGTAACAGACCCGGCAGTTCATAGAGCACCCCGAGAGTGACAGGGCGAAAAGGAGTGTGCTACGTCGCATAAGAGCACTCCGAGCTGAGGAGGAACCACCACAATTTACGAAGGAGGACGTTGCAGATGTCATCAAGAACGCTAAATCATCCAAAGCGTTGGGACCGGACGGAATTTCCATGGTAATGCTAAAGCAGCTGGATGAACCTGGAGTTGAGTACCTAACATCAGCCCTCAACTTGTCGTTAACCACCCACATAGTTCCTGAAGCCTAGAAAATAGGCAGGGTGGTCCCGCTACTGAAGCCAGGCAAGGATGCCAGCAGGGGTGAATCGTACAGGCCGATTTCACTCCTGTCGCCGGTAGCGAAGACACTTGAGGCGCTACTCCTCCCATCGTTGAGAAGCAGTTTTCCAGTTGCCCAATACCAACATGGATTCCGTAAGATGCATAGTACAACAACAGCATTACACGCCATTTCCACACATATTAGCAGAGGACTCAACCAGAACAGGCCGTGCAACCGAACAGTTATGGTGGCACTTGACCTATCGAAGGCCTTCGATACCGTCAACCATGCCAAGCTGTTCGAGGATATAGAGAGGACGAATCTCCGACCGTGTTTGAAACGTTGGATAGTCAACTATATGTGTGGACGCCAGTCGTATGTGGAATTCAGAAACAGGAAGTCTAAACCCCGTAGAGTGAAACAGGGAGTTCCCCAAGGAGGGGTGATATCTCCGGAACTGTTTAACCTCTACCTTTCTGATATTCCACAACCACCGGACGGCATAGAGATCGTGATGTATGCGGATGATTGCACGATCATGGCGTCGGGTCCCATTATTGATGATATATGTGAGAGGCTAAACGTCTACATAGCCGATATTGTTAACTACTTCCATCTGAGGAATATGAAAATATCCGCCACCAAATCAACAGCCACACTGTTCACCACATGGACGGCTGAAATGAAGCTCCCGCTGAACATAATGGTCGATGGTGAATTGATTCCGACCACCAACTACCCCAAGATATTGGGAGTAACGTTCGACAACCTTTTCAAGTCGTCCGCGCATGCCACTGCTTTATGCGATAAGCTGAGAAGTAGGAACAAGGTCCTCAAGTCGCTAGCCGGCAGCACTTGGGGCGCTGACAAAGAAACCTTGTTGACCTCTTATAAAGCAATAGGCCGGTCAGTGGTAAGCTATGCGGCGCCAGTGTGGTTCGCGAATGTCAGTGATACGCAGTGGAAGAATATTCAGACCTGCCAGAACGCTGCCCTGAGAACTGCAACAGGGTGTCTCCTCATGACTCCAGTGGACCATCTTCATGAGGAGACGAAGATCTTACCCGTCCATCGTCACAACTATATGTTGTCGATGCAGTACCTGCTTGGGTGTTATCGTCAGGAACATCCCTTCCATAGCCTTATGGACAGGACTCCCCCACCCAGGCACGTCAGGAAAGATCTTCATGATCTAGAGAGAGAGGTCCAAAGGTACAAGCGTGAACCCCTAGATCAAGAGGCCTATCAAGCAGGTCTGAATGGTATTCACACGGATGCAGTCGCTCAAGCAGTAGAGCAATATAGAGTGAATACCATAATTGGGGACCACCCCCCATCCATAGCAGCTGAGGAGAAGCAGCTGCCAAGGCAAACACGAGTAGTCTTAGCTCAACTAAGATCAGGATGGTGCAACCGCCTCAATTCATATTGGGCAAGAATTGACGGCTCGATACCTAACACATGTCCGGCATGTGGACTAGGACCACACGACACGTTGCACCTCTTCAATTGCCCAGCTAAGCCTACTCACCTATCGCCAAATTCTCTTTGGGCGCAGCCCGCTGAAGTTGCAGCTTTCCTGAATTTGGAGGTAGAGGATGCAGAACCAGACGATGCATGACAAAACAACATGTATTCTGTTGCTACAACAACAACATGTTATATATGTTTATAAGTAAATATGACAGAGCATATATATGGTCTGTTCGCGTACTGCATGAATCTACGAGTTTTTACTATTTTTTTCGATATCATAAAGGAAAAAAGTGTTATCGTAGTAAAAAAATTGAAGATTCTTGCAGTACGGGAAAAGAACAATAATATATATCGATATACTGGAATTTTGGTTTCTAAATAGTAGATTGTTTTAGGTTCTGGAACGGAACAACTGTAACAAATGTAGATATATCGATTTGTCAATTTCGACTTAGATATCATTTGGTCTGTTCTGCGAATTAAAGAATATTTATGTTAATTACATAGCCATACAACTATATTTGTTAATATTCTTTGATTTAATTTTCAAATATTGGTTTAAAATTAGTGCAAATATTATATTTCCTTAGATAAGAATAAAGATTTCATTTAATTTGGAAAAAGTTTCATTCTATTTGTAAAAGGTTTCATTTCAATTGGAAAAGTGTTCATTCTATTTGTAAAAGGTTTCATTTCAAGTGGAAAAGGTTTCATTTAATTTGGAAAAGGTTTCATTTAATTTGGAAAAGGTTTCATTTAATTTGGAAAAGGATTCATTTAATTTGGAAAAGGGTTCATTTAATTTGTAAAAGGTTTCATTTAATGTGGAAATGCTATATATCGATATACTGGAATTTTGGTTTCAAAATAGAAGATTCTTTTAGGTTCTGGAAGGGAATTCCTGTAACAAATGTAGATATATCGATTTGTCAATTTCGACTTAGATATAATTTGGTCTGTTCTGCAAGAATCTACTACTTTTTACTACCATAACGAATTTTCCTTTATGATATCGAATAAAATAGTAAAATCAAGTAGATTCTTGCAGTACGGGAATGGACCAACTATTAATATTGCTGAGTTACTAAAAATTAATATTAAAGAGCAAGCTTAGTTAGGACATTATAGGGATTTTAATATCAATAAATCAGTCAGCAAGTTTAAGTGGGCAAGTGGGTAGAACATCGGATTTGCCATCCTCAAACTCTCAAATGAGACTACCTTCTGTAATTATGCCATGGCCCTACTTTTTAATTATTATACCAGGATTTCAATTAAATTTATTTGTATAATTTCATGTGGCAATATACCCTCTATTTCTCGAAAAGTCTTGATTTAGATTAGGCGAGTTTACTTGCGGCAATTCTTGTCGTTGTATTTTGAACTTGCTTCATGCGTCTATACAAGGCAATTCGGTTTCCAAAATATTTTTCTATTTGTTGTTTTTTCACATTTAAATATATATAAAATGCCAACTAATACGAAATACACAAAACGAATTGCCAGAACATTGTAGGTACAAACAATTTTTTTTTCATATCTATTCCCCTTGCCCCTCTCTCCTACAAACAAAGACTTGCCGCAAGTAAACTCGCCTAATCTAAATCATGACAAAGAGAGTTCGCCAAATATTCATCAACGTTTACATTGTACGGAATTTATAAAATCCAGTTGATCTAAATTGTCAATTTCATATATGTCAAATAAATCCTCCTGGAGGAGGTTATCCCAGAAAAAGTTCTGATGTAAATGCCGTTTAAGCTCCATCTTTAATTCAGCCACAAGCTTCGATTTACGTATTTGCAGTAACCTTCTTTTCTTCTACAAGCAATTTTTTTTTCATTTCTACAAGCATTTTTTTTCATTTCTATTCCGCTTGCCCCTCTCTCCTACAAACAAAGACTTGCCGCAAGTACACTCGCCTAATCTAAATCATGACAAAGAGAGTTCGCCAAATATTCATCACCGTTTACATTGTACGGAATTTATAAAATCCAGTTGATCTAAATTGTCAATTTCAAATATGTCAAATAAATCCTCCTGGAGGAGGTTATCCCAGAAAAAGTTCTGATGTAAATGCCGTTTAAGCTCCATCTTTAATTCAGCCACAAGCTTCGATTTACGTATTTGCAGTAACCTTATTTTCTTGTCACTTCACACGTTACTTGTACCACTAATTACAGCACCTCTTAAAATGACAGTTAAATATAATCGGTATTGGTTAATTTGTACCCAAAATACTCATTACTTTGACATCACAAGTCACAAGACCTACTGTCAGCTGAATTCAGTGTAAAAATTTTGTCTACTGCTATTTTCCAACGGAATTGGTGAAAATTTTATTGATTTTTTTAGGAAAAAATAACAACAAATAAAGCAGTAGCCATGTCTGACGTTGCCGATTTAATGAAAATGCCCGAAGAGAGCATTGGTAAGTAGAAAAATAAAAAGATTTCTGGACAAAAATCAATAATGATTGCATGTTATTTGTGACAATGAAAAAAATGTATACATCATTATTATGATCATTGACGAATATAATATTGAATTTAATTACGTCTTTGTTTTTCTTCTTTATCTTCTGTTTTCCAGATATGATTGCTGCAACATCTGTGTTGCAGCAACAGGCCGCTGATATCCGTACCAAAACCATTAACTGGGCATCGTACATGCAATCCCAAATGATTTCCCAAGAAGATTATCAATGCATTAGTGCTTTGGATAACTCAAAGGCTGCCTACTTGCAATCGAATCCAGCCCAAGCTGTTAAGACTTTGTTGAATCTGTTGTCTCATGTCTCCAAAGATTCGACTATTCAATATATCATGGTCATGATTGACGATCTGTTGCAAGAGGATCGTTCTCGTGTTGATATTTTCCATGAATATTGTGCCAAGCGCAAGGAATGTGTTTGGGGCCCTTTCTTGAATCTGTTGAATCGTCAAGATGGTTTCATTGTGAATATGTCATCTCGTATCTTGGCCAAATTGGCATGCTGGGGTCATGAAATGATGCCCAAATCAGATTTGAACTTCTATTTGCAATTCTTGAAGGATCAATTGACTGTACAGGTGAGCAAATTGATAGAGAGAGGGTGATGAGATGAGAGAAGAATGGTTTTTTTGTTGTAGTTGTTATCTAGACACATGATTCGTCGTCGTTTGCGGCCTTTTGATGTACACATTGTTGTCGTGTTCGAAATTATCGTATCGTGACTATTTGCTCAATCGAAAGAATATGTTGAAACCCCTATTTATGATATCAAACAAATGGGCTGTTTATTTAAATAATTTTGAACTTTATGTGGTTTTTTAATATTTTATATTTGTTTAATGGAAATAGTAGTTCTTTGTTTTGACCTGTTAATTTTTAAAATCAAAAAAAATTGTCTGCAGATTATTTTTCAAAATTCTTTTTCTTATTTGCATCGAGGACAAATATTCTAATTAGATTTTATTTATTTGGACTCCCCCACTTGAATAGGTCATAAACTTATATATTTTTCTTTTTATCCCCGATTCTGCACAAATATGTTCCATCAACCTCAAAATAACCTAATAATATTCCCCCAAAAAAATCAGTGCAAAAAATATATCAGTGAGATGACTGCCCTATCAAAAAGAATCCAAACCATTATAATACATTCAGATGGACATGATAAGGGACACACAAATCACCTTGATCTGGTTGAATTTTTGAAATATCGTGAACAAGCTGCAGCGGCGGGCAAGACGGTAGTGGGCTTTTAAGCAATTTAATTACTTGCAAAATACTACCAATAACATAATAATAGCATATTCATCGTTCTACTAATTGGCTAACTTCTAATATTCAGCATTTTATCACAGTCTTGTAAATTTATTCGAAATATTGACAGACTTTGCTTAGAAAGATTTTAAATAAATGTAAATTGAATTTTTTTTTTGTTATATGTCCAACCCTCAAATTTCATTGTCTGTAATTCGCCTTGTTTTGTTAATGTTTTATTTGTTGTTGTTTTTTGATATTGTGGACCTGTCTTTCATATTCAAAAGGATTATCAAAACTTTTGTCATCTTTTCTGGGATTTTTATTAAATTTTATACTGGAATTATGGTCCTTTGGCCTGACCTATTCAATGCCATACAACTTGTTGCGTTTCTTATTTTATAAAAATAACACCAACTAACTAATTCAAAAATTTAAACACAAATAATAATAAATTTTTTTCACATTATTTTCAAATAACAGTCCAACGAATATATTCAATCTGTGGCCCGTTGCCTGCAAATGATGTTGCGTATTGATGAATATCGTTTTGCTTTTGTTAGTGTTGATGGTATCAGCACTTTGGTGCGCATTTTGTCATCTCGTGTCAACTTCCAAGTGAGTAAACAAATTACAAATATGAATAGCGAAATTCATTACTAATCTGTACAAATTTTACAGGTACAATATCAATTGGTCTTCTGTTTGTGGGTCTTGACCTTCAATCCTTTGTTGGCCACAAAAATGAACAAATTCACGGTCATCCCCATTTTGGCTGATATCCTCAATGATTGTGCCAAGGAAAAGGTAACATTTTTTTTAAATTAATTACCACTATTTAGGTTTTATTGTATATCAAATTATTATTGTTTGCAGGTTACCCGCATCATTTTGGGTGTATTCCGCAACTTGATTGAAAAGCCAACCGATGCCCAAGTTGCCAAGGAACATTGCATTGCCATGGTACAATGCAAAGTCTTGAAACAACTTTCCATTTTGGAACAACGTCGTTTCGATGACGAAGACATCTCCGCTGATGTTGAATTCTTAACAGAAAAGTTGCAAAACTCTGTACAAGATTTGTCCTCATTCGATGAATATGCCACAGAATTGCGCAGTGCCCGCTTGGAATGGTCGCCCGTACACAAATCTGCCAAATTCTGGCGTGAAAATGCCCAACGTTTGAATGAGAAGAACTACGAATTGTTGCGCATTTTGGTACATCTTTTGGAAACCTCCAAGGATCCCATTATTTTGTCTGTTGCCTGCTATGATATTGGAGAATATGTTCGTCATTATCCCAGAGGAAAACAGTAAGTTTGAAAAGAAAACCTTAAACCGTTTATTCTTGAAACCTATTTTCACCTTTCCCAGCGTCTTGGAACAATTGGGCGGCAAACAAATTGTTATGCAATTGTTGGGTCATGAAGATCCCAATGTACGTTATGAAGCCTTGTTGGCCGTACAAAAATTGATGGTTCACAACTGGTAAGTCAATTTTATTTTAACAATATATTCGAAAAAAAAATAAATTTTATATTCTTCTCTCCAGGGAATATTTGGGCAAACAATTGGAAAAAGACAATGAAACCCAAAAACAAGGTTCAGCTGCCATTAGCGGCAAAGCTTAAGTATTATAATTCCCCATTAATATAAATAAACCATTAGTATGTTATTAAACTCTTAAGTAATGAAATGTATTAATAACTAAATAATTTCACTGAAAAATATGCAATTGATGCAGTATGAAATCAAACAATGTGTGTTTCCTCTGATAATAATAATACTACCTATATACAAATGATGATTCTTATTATATTCATTTTAATTTGATTGTCACTTGAAAATTCTGATCAAAAAATCATTCCAAATTCTTATTCTCCCTTTTTTGTTTTTATTTTAAAATTTTCTGTTATCAAATTTGTTTCTAATTCGTGATGAATGTATGTGTTGTTGCTTTTGTTTGTAAATATCTACAATAATAGATGAATAAAAAAACAAGCTTGTTAAAAATTATTTCAGTTATTTGTTTTATTTTTGGGTTTGAAAGGGCTATGATATATTCAGCCAATATGGAGCAGGAATACACAACTTTCAAGTCCGGTAATGTCCGGAGAACAGCTGATGCTATTTGAAAATCAGCTGTTCTCGAGCTAGATGTTAAAATCACACAAATTCATTCAATTTTTAATTCCACAATTCTCGTTTATTTTCGAACGATCATTTGTTGTTCGGATGGCACGAATTTGGAACCAACTTCTCTTGCTTCAACGTACGTACAGATATACTGAATTTGCGCTGAACCAAATGTGATTGTTTGGACTCTGCTCTGATAGTAGTGCTCTCATAAAATAATTGGTACTTTTTTATTATTTTAGTATTATTTTATTATATATATATATATATTAATTCTTTATTGTATATTGCAACATTCCCAGTAGTTCGAGTAACTGGTGATGAACTAGATATTTCACTAATTACCTGTAAGTACCACTAGTTACCACTTCATGCCCTAGACTGGTGAATTTAACATGGGTATGTCATTGGGGAAGTCAATTGTCCCCTGCCTGCGTTACCAGTATACAGTTATTTCGATAGTCGATTCATTACCCTTTGCATTACCAGTAACTACTGAATTGGTGTGATGTGCGTAGACAACTTTTTCAATTGACAAAAAAATCCAACTGTCTATTTTGTGTTCCTTTTTGGAGTATGAAGTAACTAGATCACCAAGTAACTAGCTATATAACTATATAATAGCAGACAATTGATATTTTTTGAACAACTGGGTTGTTATGCCATGTTCTGATGGGGCTATCTAACAGGCTCTTAATTATAATCTAAAATATTAAATAATATCTATGTTTTTTTATAACACATTTTCTAGACGATCTCAATTATTTTTCTCTAAAAAAATTGTTATCTAATTGTTTTTTCATGTATACAAAAATATACCTGACTTTTTAACACTAGATTGCCGAAGGCGGTCATTTTGACCGCTTTCCAATTTCAAGTACAAAAGCAACTGTGCATTTAATGACACTTTTTTTTTTAAATTTGGTGACTTTTTGTACCTCATAGAATTACGTTTATTATAAAAAATTCACCAAATTTAAAAAAAGTGTCATTAAATGCACAGTTGCTTTTGTACTTGAAATTGGAAAGCGGTCAGCGGCCTTCGGCGTTCTAGTGTTAATACTTCTTTCTGAATATTAATCGTATATTACTAAATTGTACACAGACTTTTTCTATTGGGTGTATTGCTTTGATTGTACATTTTACAAAGTATAGGATGAAATTATTTTTTTAATTACATTCCCAACTTAATTTTCGATAGAAACACTGAAATACATTTTAATTCTATTTAGTTTTATTTTATTAATTTATTTTTTTATTTTATTCTAACGACATTTTATGCGGATAAATATTTTTTTTTTTTTTTTTTTTTATGTATTATTTTGGTTGGCCCACTTTCTATAGGGATAGAAGGTTTAGTGCCATGTCTCCATATGTAGCTTAAGCTACGAATTTGACTTTATCCATAGATGGTGGTTTGTGTTTTGCAGGTTGACTTCGATCTTCTTTAAGAATTTGACCACAATGTTCAGACTTTCTAAGCCTTGTGTATCAGTGAACTCTTCTACTGTGAAGGAGTCACATAGTTGCGAAAAGCATCTTCTTTTGTTATTAAATTTACGAAAATTGAAAATTCCATGCGCAGCTGTTTGGATTCTGTTGAACGACTCGTAATTTATAGGTTATCCGTATTTAAAAACGCACGTGTTAGTTAAGCGAACGCTTAACAACCGCCATTTTGTAAAAATCTATTTTTAAGCCCGTGGGCGTGTAATACTCATTTAAAATTTTACGTCTTTCTTGTGAGCCGTCCGAGGACGAACTGCGGATAAATATTTATTTAAACAAATCATTCACAAAAAACGTCACTAGTTCACACAGTTCGTTTTTGTGAACATCAACAATGAACTATTTCTTTCTAGAGAGCCGGAATCAAAACAAAACAAATCCTGAACGCTGGACTTGATTTCGATATTTTTTTAATTTTTTATTTCCATATTAGTGTTTATTACCAACTTATTCCAAATGTAAGTATACCCTTGCGTTCAACATATCATAAATTCTAAATTGATTTAAAATACATACCTTCCAGAGCCGAATCCATTTATTGGTGATCAAAATGAACTACCTCTTGCTAACTCGAGATTCCTTGGACATTGGCTCCATAACAGATTTAGCAGCCTCTGATGCCTGTTACACTACCTCATTATTTGTTGGCACTACCCGCAGTTCATTAGGAGGTAAAAAGTTAATATCTCTGGAATTTGGAGCCTGTGAATCAATGGCCGAAAGAGAAATGGAAAATATTTGTGGAGAATTACGATTTCGTTGGTCAGATCTTTGTAATATTGTTATATATCACCGTATTGGTCCAGTACCGATAGGTGAGGCCAATGTTGTTATTGGCATATCATCGACACACACCAAATCCTCCTTAGATGCCATTGCAGTGGTAATTGACGAACTTAAGAAACGTGTACCAATATGGAGAAAAGAAAAATATGAGGGAGACGAATTTACCATGTGCGTGGAATCTACCGAGGCAGAGACATTCGATGAAAAGCTATGCGACATACAACAAGAACACTCCCTACCATCGAAATTTGTACAAATTTCAGCAAGTGAAACTGAAATAAATCGACGAATACAAAGTTTTATCGAACGAAAAAGAGAAGAAATCGATATCAATAATATTGTAGACTATATAAATCCTAACTACACGGCTGAAAAACAAAACGATGATGAAGAAGAGTCGTCATCATCATCATCGTGTGCCCGCATTGCTGGTACCATAATAAAACAGGAAAATTCGAAATGCCACTTAAAAGTTCGTCAAATTGAAAATAAAATTGGACCACAAGTACGACAGGACTATTTAGAAACATTAGATACGCTAATGGAATCCGACTTGGAACCGAAAATCAAAAAAGAAAAGAAGGAAATAAAGACTACAGCCCCTATAAAACATGCCTTACTAGAGAGAACGCGTGATATCGAGGAACATTTGAATTTAAATAATACACAACAGAAAAGTATTCATCAGCGTTTGAAAAACATTGAAGATCGTATATTATTTTTAGAGTCAATATCACCGGAATATTGTCATAATTTATTTGATAAATCGGTAAATAATAATAATAATGGGAATACTTCTATAAGTTCCATGGAGAACTACAATGCAATAAATGATCCTTCAACAAAGCCTACATCAAGTAATGCTAGGAAGGCGTGTCGTAAAGTATATGCTATCGACGATATAGATCGTATAATTCAAGCTGAATTGCAGCATATCTAGGATATACATACATTTGTGATTAGAATTTATACATAAGAAACATTAGATTATTTATTTTATAAGACAATATTGTACAAACATCTAAAAATAATAAAGTGTTATTATATAATTAATATTGTAATGGAGTTTTAATTTTTATAGGATGCCTATACTGTTATTAAACATCGAAAATATTTAAAATCATGAAGCTTTAACCTTTCAGAGAAGATGTTAATTATTTCGATAAATAATAAACTTATGGTCGCCACTGACCCGGCTAAGAATTTACATTGTGTATGGATCACAGAACCTTTTTAAGAATATTGGGTATGATAATTCCTTCAAGTTGTTATTGGATATTATTCGTTTATGGAAGTCTAGTAATAGAGTGAATTTGGACGCAGTAAATTCGACTGATTCTTTTAGGAGCTGTATCTTGGCTAGATGTGACGAAATTCATTTTTATTATTTAATTTTTTATTTACTTTTATTATGGGGTTTATTCAATTTTCAATTTATTTATTTTTCATGAATGGGAACCTAGCGACAAGGCCATGATCGCTTCCAAAAACCACTATACATCTACTACTCCAAAATCTTAAACCTAACAACAGATTTATCTTAACATAAAATCTTTTCCAGAACATGGAAATCTATTATCTATTCGGTCCGAATTGCCCAAAACGGCAAGTCTGCATTCTATTTGCTGTTTACTAGTAATGCCATCCACTACGAAATGATAACACTCAATAATGATACTAATTCAATAGTTCACTTCAGTGAATCTTTTAATTGAACTAAGTCTTTCGTGAACTATACAATATCAATTTAAAAGAATTCAAAATTTATACTTTTTTCTATTAAACAAATGCAACAAAGTACATTACAAACGTACAATGGCGCTTGAACCACCAGTCCAGCCACCGCCAAGATTGGCGGCTCAACGTTCAAATGAACAGACGCATGTATTTTTTCTTAATACAACACAGCGACAGGTGAGAGGAGGAGTCGCCAATGTAAATAATGCACAGCTGGAATCCGAACAATATGTTTGGAATAATTTGAACTTGATATCAGAATTTAAATTGATATGGATTGTACATAAACTCTTTAATAGAAACCCCCCATACCGTCCATACAATTGCCAATATTTCAAGTTTATTTGAATAATAAAAATAAATTACCAAGCCATTAGTTTATGACAATATTCAGTTGTCTATATAGCGACAGACATGGACGGACTTTCCTCAATAAATTTGGGGACGTGACCTAATTGTCATCTATATAATGACATCTCTAATACTCCCATTGATCCATAAATTTGTTTTTGGAACTCAATGTTTCATACCCCGGAAAATACATCTTTACGTGATCAAACCTTAATTTCAGTTTGCTATACTTTAATTTGGAATCAAGTTGATTGCTTTGTACAAAACCTTAGTTTTTCATTATTTCCTTATTTTACTAAAGTCAGTTTACTTCCAGGTGAATTTATACTGGATGGATTTCAATGGCTCACAAGATTTATTTACAACATTACCTCCGGGTGCTGGCATAAAGGCCAATACATTTGTAACACATCCATGGTTGTTTCGTGATGCCCGTACCGGTGAACGTATGCATGTCAAACATCAGGATATCTTTTGGCCACAATTGTATCGCGTGAAGAATGCCGGGCAATGGTTGCCCTGCCGCAAATTGATAGCAATACATCCGCCTGTAAATCAAAGTCTGCGTACAAGATGTTTATGGCGTTTTTCCGATCTTATTTATGGTCAAAATGATGAATTTCTGAAAAGTTTAAATTTGCCACGAACGTTATACAACGATATTAAATCGGTGTTGGGATTAATTGAGAAGCACAGGGCAATTGGCATGGGAAGACGAAGAAATAGTTAGCAAAGTGGTGGGTGGTGTTTGTGTCACCCGTTAAGTCGTTAGGATTATGATGACATTTTTATACACTCTAATGTGTATTGTTGAAGTTGTAAAGTATTTACGAAGGAAGAAAATCTCCAGGAAATGTTAGTAAATTTATTTGATTGTGCTATAGAAATCAATTCGATTCCAAAACTTTATCAAGTCCATCTGATTTTTCAAAAATTACGTCTGAGAATTTATTCTACAAGTACAAAATGTTGAAGAATTGTTTTGATTTCCATTACCAATCCAAAACACTTTTCCTAAATGACTACTCTCCTAAATGCTAATGTGATTTCATTGAGAAGAAAATTTTTTACAATATTTATTCTATTGTTTAAAAAATTGTATTTTTCTTTATTATAAGTCAATTGCCTGCATTTATTGGGGCATCATCATTATTATTATTAGCATTATCATATTTGAATATGTGTTTTTGTTTAAATGTTTAATTTTATTATAGCTACAAATTGGATAACAACACTTTCTTCCTTTCATACTTTCCATTCTATAATATAATGTGAAATATGTTTTACTTAGTCTGTCGTGTTTTTAGATTTAAATAATTTACTTTCTTTTTTATGTTTAGATCTTAAGCATAGGTATGTGTGAATCTATGTAATAATAATTGTAATTAAAAACTATAAATGTTACAGAAAAAAACATAAAGAAAGGCAATCCATCTCGCCACAGAAAATACAACGCTCTGTACAAAGTTTTTGTTTTTTTATATAGCTTAGAAAAGTAGAAAGTTTTTTTTGGTTGTGGTGAGAAAGAAATGGAATGAGTATTTGTTTTTCTTGTTAGCTATACAACTAAGCAAATGGGGAAGAAATAATTGGAATGGTAAACATTGTGTATGTGGTATGGTTAAGATATTTTTTCTTTGGGAGTGGATTGCCAAATTTCTTTTTTTAATGTGATTATTTTTTGCAATATAATTGTATTTCCTTAAGCTTTTGAAATGCTTTAGGTGTTACAATAAACCGAAAAAAACCTAACAACAAACTAAATAAAACAATTTTTTTTGATGATCATATTAAGAATTTTGGCATGTCCTTGCGTTCGTTTGTTGTTTCCACAGATTCCATACACTTGTAGTCATCACGTGCTTGTTGTTTGGGCGGTTGTGAGTTGTCAAATGCGTTCACACAAGAATGCGCACAACACCCACCACCCATTGTATTTCTTAATTTGTCTGTCTTGTGCCTTATCATCAGCTGAAATTTAGAGAATCACATAAACTGTTGCTTCTACCGTTGTTTGTTCAAAGTTTTCCATCATATGAAAAATTTGGCTTAGTTTTGTACTGGAATGTGAGATCGGTTTGTTGTTGCTTCCAAATAAAATGGCGAACAGTACGTAGGTCCATGTTTGGATCCACCACCTGTAGGGGAAAAGAAACAAAATTTTAAAATTGATTATCTAAAAATAGAGTTTCAACAAAACATACCACATCATTGCACCATAACTCAATGCGATCTTCGGCCGGCACTTGAGAACCCTCCGAATTGGCATCGCTGTTCTGTGAAGAACTGGATGCATTGCCACCACTTGGTGTGGTCTCAGCTCCCAAAACTTTATCCAAAACATGTTCACACACTTTACGGCACTGTATAAATTCATTGGCCACCAAACGATCCTAAAATCACATCATAATTTATATAAATAATTGCCTCTAGGCATTGTTTTAAAATTTCTTACTTTCTTCGTTCTTTCCGGTTTACCCATAGACGGATGTGGTGTTAGGAAGAATGGAATTTTTAAAAATTTCGGTGTGGTCTTTTCTATGACAACATCTGTTACCCATTGTGGTACGGTTTCGTGTAGCAATGTAGTTTCACTTTCTCCAGCAGCATCACGTACCAATAATCGGGATACAGTTCGACCACCAACCTCACTGTAATCGAAGAATACGGGAATTAATTAAAATCTGAGTGAAATAACAAAAACAAACTTACCTTAATATTACCGGTGTATGTTTTGGTACTTGGAAAAATCCATTGCCTCTTATATCTTGTTCCATGTCATTGGGTGGCAAGCTATGGGGTGGTGTCCAATATTCCAGCAATGCTTCTAATAACAATTTACCATAATTTATCTGAAAAATAATTTTTGTCGTCATTTCATAATAAATAACAGATATGAATTTAAGAACGACTGAATTTTTAATTTGAATAAAAATATTAAATACATTATTTGCCAGGAAGAACTATTTTTGATTAGGTTCTAAAGTAATAATGGCCTTTTAGGCTTGTTTGCCAAAATTGTAATAAACTAAATTAAATTTTTACAGTATAAATATGAAAAATGTTTAATCGAAAGAAATACAAATCGATGTGTCTATAAAACTTAACATTCAATCCAAAATCTCGTTCCTTATTTTTGATTAGAGTTCCAAAAATTGTATTTCAATTACCTTCATTTCTGATTGTGGATCCGAACATTCAGGAAGACCAGCTTCTATTGATACCCAGGCAGCAAAACAATCCACCTCGTCTTGGCCCAAAACAATAGTAGGCATCTAAAAATACAAAAACTATAATTGTAGCAATTGCCAAGAATCAACTACAAGCAATGGACATACCCCCGTTTTTAAATCAACAGTAAACCAATTGGGAATGTATACTTGTTTGTTGCGTTTTTTGATTTCCTCTTCGAAATCAACTTTACCCAACTCCTCCTTCTTAACTACTCGTAATACATCATATATGGCTACATTGTCTTCCGTGTCGCGGGTAACAATGTGACGTTTATCATTTAGAACAACGCATTTTTTAATGGCAGCACCACCTACAAATAATAGAAATCAATCAATAATGAAAATCCTTCTCCCCTTTGCAATTTCAAAACCCGCAACATACCCTTAATACATGCCAATTCTGTTCCCGTGGAGGTCCATTGAGCATCCATACCGCCACTTGAATTCAATGTACACTTGTCATACAGTGGCAGTTTCCAACAACGTATATCGGAATTCCAGGTAGTGGCCCATACCCCCGTCTTATCAATATTAAAGCAGAGACTTAATACTGGAGCCTTTTCTTCACACACCACCATCGAATTGCTGGGATTTCTCAACTCGGTTATGACAATATTAC